TCTCTTCCCTGGGTTATGTTCTGTTTCATTAGGGTCTCTGTTCCAGCTGTCTCTTGTCTGTTATAATACAAGTCTCATAAAGGTCTTGATCCTCGGGGCAGTTTTATTCCTTGTTTGATCTCCAGTGCTGGAACCTAAGGCACTGCAGTGGGCAGTGGAAGAGAGATTGTGGGTAAGGTAACCTCTCAGGGGCCCTCATCTCATCCGCTGTGCTCGTGATCTTCCTCTAGTCACCTGGCAAACCTGGCCAGTAATCCTGGTTCAGTGGCTAGTTAGCCCACTCACTGCTGGTGGTCATGCTTGCTTTCTCTAAGCTTCACTTTTATCATGATTAAATATGTAACTTTTGAACTTCTGTTCTACTGAAGAAATCTGGATCCTACAAAGCTTTCTATTTTTTTTTTTTGGCGATACTCAGGGCCTCGTGCTTACTAGGCAGGCTCTCTACCACTTGAGCCATGTCCCCAGTCCCTTTGCTTTTTGCTTTACTTACTTTTGAGATAGGGTCTCCTGCTTTTTGCCTGGGGCCAGCTTCCTCTGGGACCTGCAGTTCTCTCAGTAGCTGGGATGGCAGGATGGGGTCTTGTGAACTTTTCACCCTTGCTGGCCTTGAATTGAGATCCTCCCCATCTCTGCCTCCCAGCTACCTAGGATCATAGGTGTGAGCCATAGTGTCTGCCCAAAACTTCTCTCTTTTAATTTTACTTTCCATTAAAAATACATTATTTAGTTATTGGAATTATATGGGACCATGTTTTGGTTTGCTTTGGTGCTTGTGTGTGTGTGTGTGTGTGAGAGAGAGAGAGAGAGAGAGAGAGAGAGAGAGAGAGAGAGAGAGAGAATTATAGGCACATATGCTCTTGATTTGCCCAGGAGGGTGAATGAAATAAGAAACAAATATGAGCAGGAGTTCACCTTGACCAGTCACTATTATGTGTTACAAACTAGCAACGTTCAAACTCAGTATTATTCCAAATGTGTAGGAGAGTAGTGATTGTACATTACTAGCTACAACATAAATAGGTAAAATATTTTTTGAATGCAATTTTTAATAGGTCTCAATAATTATAAAAGATCATAGCCTATGACCAATCATATTGTATTTAGAATTCATGCTCTTGCCATGTCCAAGAAGAAAGAAAGCACAAAAATAAGAAGTTTTAGCATTATTTATAATAGCGAGAAATTGGGTATGACCTAACAGTGTAATCCTAGAGAAGTGATTGAGTAAATGACAGTAAAACTGCTGGATCAGTGCTATTCAGCCACAAAAACGGTGACTAGAAACACGATGTGCCAGTATGAAAAATGTCTGTGACATCATTTAAAAATGTCAAGAGGCCAGTTACATAGACAGTGACATGAAGATGCATGAAAAAGTGGGAACTTGGCTGGAGTGATTTTTAGAAACGTTCCAGGCTGGGTATGGTGGTGCGTGTTTGTAATGATAGTAGTCAGGAGGACCTTGAGTTCCAGGCCAGCCTGGGCTACAGAGTGAGACCCTGCCTCAAAGCAAAACAAAACAAACCCCAAATAAAACAAATTCTGGCCATGTTAAGATTTTTGTATGACATCCAGGAAGCGCTAGGGCGGTTTGGCATGCTTGTGCTGTGAGGGCTTGAAACTACTTGCTAGATACTTCCAAGGGACTAGCTAGGGGGCGGGGTGTTCAGTGCTTAAACCCAGCGTGAGCACCATCCATGTTACATCAGGAGACAGGGCAGGGCAGATCACTGTCGGGATGTGGGGCTCCGGGCTTCTGGGCGAAACACCATGTACCACCTGCTCACTGTGGTGGTAAAATGTGACTTATGAGGTGGGGATGTGGCTCAGGCTCAGTGGCAGAGCATTTGCTTAGTGCCTGTGAGGCCCTGGGTTCTATCCCCAGCATCGTCAGAAAAGAAAGAAAAAAGGAGAAGAAAAGGAAAAGCAATTTGAGATAAGGGATCTTTGAGAGTCAGAAGACTGGTTAAAGGCTGGCAAAGTGGCTCAAGCTGTAGAGGTCCTGCCTAGCAAGTGGCCCTGAGTTCAAACCCCAGCACCCCCCTTACCCCCCACAAAAAAAAAAAAGCTGGTTAAACTATAAAATTGTAGGAACATTGTGGAGTTGGGAGGACATTTGCAGCTTTGCCTCAGTTGTGGTAGGGAAATCCCTTCGTGTCCATCAGGCATTGCTTCCAGGACCCCCGCAGATACCACAATTCACAGATTCTCAAGTCCCTTACAGGAAATGGTGCTGTTTTGCACTGAACCTCTGTACATCATTCCATATATTTAAATCATCTCTAGATTACTTATAATGCCTAGTCCAAGCTAAATATGTGGGACTAATTCTTATGCTGTATAGCTTAGGAAATAATGATAAGAAAAAATATCTGTAAGTGTTCGGTACAGACGATACTTAAAGATTTTGTGTGTGTGTGTGTGTGTGTGTGTGTGTGTGTGTGTGTGTGTGTGTGTGTGCTGGGGCTCATGCAGACTAGGCAAGTGCTCTACCACTGCGCTAAACCCTGAACCCTAAATGAAACTTAAAAAGATTGTTTTTTCAATCTGTGGTTAGTTAGACCCATGAATGCCAAGGCTGACTATATATGTATTTGCATCGTTACCCCCCACTTTGGTAGCATTGCTAGCAGTCTCTTGTTACCCAATTGCTGCTAAATTGGCTGAGGATGGAGTGGCAGTGGTTATTTTCACAGAGGCCTCTGAAGGAGAAGAAAAGCCAGAGAAGATATGGAGGATGATGGTGACATGGTTGAAGAGGCCAGGAACCCTAGATCCTGTGTACCAAGTCTTGCAGCTGTCGTCATAAAGGTTATTCAAGCAGACCAGAAGGAACTGTCAGATGATCAGGGCTTAGCACCACAGGCTTGTGTTGCACACACCATTGAGTGTGCAGAGCTATGTGGGTTGGCTAGTTAATAACCACGTATCTCTGGGTGATGCTAGTCCTGCAGCCCATCCATCCTCCTCCTCCCACAGTCTTCAGCTCTGTGACTCAGCTACATCTCTGGACATCCAAGGGCCTCCCCACCCACAGATCCACAGTCAGGAGTTGCTGTAAGCAGAATTCCAATTCCGGTCTTTCTGTTTGGTCTGGGAGGGTCTTCTTCTACCATGGGTTCATGCAAGTGGGAAGCCCCCTTGACAGAAGAAAGAACATCTTCTCGAGTCTCTGGCTTGAAGAAAAGGCAGGTGCCAGTTAATCCTGCAGGCTAAAAAGGAGACATTTGGAGACATGGGTTAAATTGGACACCGTACTTCCCAGTTGGCCCAGAAAGGGTCAGCCTTGTTCCCCCACTGAGTTGTACATTTTCTCTTAGAGAATTCATCCGGCATAGAGAGCCCTGTGGCCCCTGGAAGTTCTGTCTCTGGGGTTGGGTTGGCATCAGGTGGTTCTCTATTTGCTGGTGTGTGTGTGTGTGTGTGTGTGTGTGTGTGCATGTGTGTGGTGGCACTTTATCCTTGAGGCAGCCTCTCAGTACTGTGTGGCTCCGCGTAGAGGTGGAAGAATAGACTGTGTGCCAGTCACCACCTTAGAGCTAGCCTGGTCTGGTCCTATTGTGTGGGACTTGCTCCCTCTGGGCCTAGAACCAGGGCTGTGGTGCCCCTGTAGCTTGCTGACCCAGTGTCATTTGACCTTAGTCAGTTGTCTCACAACTTTGCTTGGCTTTGGGTTCCAGCAGTAATGAATCTTGCTCTGTGGGAATCATTTAGGGTGCAGTGTGGGTGCTCCCTCTCCTGGGAAGCCTAAGTGGCAGATGCAGGTCTGTAGGCCCCATCCCACTTCTGCCATGTGTGTGCAACCAGACTAGGCTCCTCCTTGGAGAGAATAGTGCTCCCGCCCTTTCTGGTCCTTCTAAGAGGCCCAAGGATTTTCTGAACGAAGGGAGAAAGCCTTGGATTTGCAGCTCACCTCCCATCACCAAAGACCCTGTACTGGAGCATCAGGGTGGCACCCTAAACAAAGCACCACAGACTGAGTGGCTTAAACAATAGAAAACAGCTTTCTCAAAGTTTTGAAGGCTGAAAGTCCAAGATCAGGGTGTCACCTGATTGTTTTCTCCTGAGGGCCACAAGCACAGGATCTGTTCCTTGGTTCATGGATGGCCATAAGTCATATTTTGAGGCTTTCAGGGGTTAGGACTCTAGGGTGTAAATTTTGGGAGAACACAATTCAGCTCATATCAGCAAAGTAAGGTTAGTACCACTAGGACAGGGCTGAGGACTATGCTCCTATACTGAGGCTCCAAGAACCCGTTGAGTTTCATCTCTTGATGACTTCAAAGAACTAGAGGGGCTGCCCCTCCTGACTAAAGGAATTTGAATCAAAGCTTATGCTTTTTCTGAGATAGGTGTGTCTTGTATGAAGTGAGTTATGACCCACTTCATGAAGCTTTTGTGCAGAGTAATAATAACTGCTGTTTGTGAAGTGCTTACTTTCGTGTTTAGCACTTGGTTCACAGCCAAATCTATAAAGTGTAGGTACCATAATTACCCCCACGTTATAGATGCAGAAACTGAGCTGTAGAAATATTTAATAACTTGTGGCCACGCAATAAGTGTAAGAACTAGGATTTAAGGCCTCTGATCTGAAAAGTCAAGGCTGTCTGGAATATAGTTCAGCGGTAGAGCACTGCCAAATATGGCTGAGGGCCTAGGCTCAATCCCCAGCACCACCCACACACAAAAGTCTGTGCTCGGATCCTCTGTGTGTGTAAAGTGCTTGACACTGCCCTTGGCACCTGGTGGAGTCATGGGAAAGTTAGTTAGGTACACGTTAATGGGTTGTGATGAACTGCTTGTGGCGTTGGTAGAGGTTTCCAGAATCCTAATGGGGCAAACGTTTGGTGCCATGGGGAAGGAAGCTGATGGAAGGGAGTCCTATCCCAGCTTCTCACAGAGGTGAGTCAAGCCAGGGACAGGTGAGGTTTCCCCAGGTCCAGAGACAGAGCCTGCTTTACCCTCCTTCTCACTAGCTCCTCCCTCCTGCCATGCAGGGTGATGTGAGCAGAGCCCAGGAATGCCTTATGTGGATCGGCAGAACCGAATCTGTGGGTTTCTGGACATCGAGGAGAATGGAAACAGTGGCAAGTTCCTGCGGAGGTACTTTATTCTGGACACCCAGGCCAACTGCCTTCTCTGGTACATGGACAACCCCCAGGTGAGAGGCCAGGTGGGAAGGGGGCAGGGCTGCTGCCATCACTACCTGGGAGGAGTGCCCAGGACCGCGTGAGCCTTGAGCGCTTCACCTCATGAGCAACACAAACCTGCTGGTTTATAAGTAGGGAAAGACCCTTTGACAGACAGACACACACATATTCATTCATGCATGCACGCACATACACAAAGAAAACCTTAGCAAGGGCTGGGGGTGTAGCACAGTGGTGGAGTATGTGCTTAGCCCCGCCCCACCCCCCAAAAAAAAGAAAGAAAGAAAGAAAAGAAAAGAACATCATCTCAGATTCTAGTTGAGGAGACAGAAGCGAGCATACATCTGCTGCCTTTCTCACGGGTAGGAATTTAACACTTGCAAAAGTCAGGCAGAGGCTGGCCAGGCTGGCTCCAGGCTGCCAGGCATGGCCTGCTTCCTCTCACCTCTCTGGTTAGGGCTGTGGCCTAACTAGGCTGCTCCTGCTCTTCCAGTCTGGGGCCTCTCCCCAACAGAGAATGTGACCTGGTTCTCTGAGCTGGACAAATGTCAGACTTCTTTGGTCTCCTGAATCAGGAAGTCATGGAGTCTTGGTTGGAGGTGACCTTGGAGGTCGCCTTGTTTTGCTTCCTCATGCTACAGATGAGAAAACTAAGTCTCAGACATTGCAGTTGACCAAGGCAAGGACTTGCTTAGCATTTTGTGGGAGTCAAGCACTAAGATAGCGACAACTTTTATTGCTATGCCTTGGGTCCTTGGAGTCACATCTGATCTGGAAAAAAAAAAAAAAAAAAAAAAACCTCTCTTTGGGAAATCTAGGTTTTTAAAAATTTTTTGGCTGGCTCTTTGTTTCCCACTGTCCTGGAGCAGTTTGGTGAAATGAGGGTGTGAAGGCTGGTATGCCCCCTGAACAGCAAGGTCACGGGCAGGACCATGTGGCTGTGGGAATAGGGTTCGCATCTTGTTAGAGGCTCAGGAAGAGGAAGGTCTGGGAGTTGAAGGATGCATTGGTGCTTTAAAATGTGATGTGGCAAAAATGTCATGTGAATCTCTAGGTCATCATCCAGGGACCGGTCCTCTAGAGGCCTTTGTCATTTGTCTTGTGGATTTGATGGCCCAGAGAAAACTTTGTAGATGCAGTAAATGTAGGCAGAAAGTCAGCTACTGGGAACTGCCTTCTCCAGGAAAGATCAGCCCTCAGTACACCTGTGCCCTATGTTCCCCCTCCCCCCCCCTCCCCCCGACCCCGGACCCCCCCCATCCTGGATGAACCTATTGCTTACGTTCATTTGATATGCTGAGCACTGGGACTTGAGCTTGCATATGGACTGCTACACCTCTGCTTGCCTCTCACCATGTTCAGTCCTGGTTTGCCTTCAGGTCCTGCTGTATCATTTTCCCTGCCTTTGCTCTGCACAGGTGCCCTCAGATGGAGCAACAGAGCTCCATTCAAGGAGCATTCAAGGTTTTTCTTCCCCACTGTTGGAAGGGCTTGGAATTCAGTCTTTTGTTGCCTAGAGACTTGGCTTGTGGCATGCAAGGAGGAGTCCTGGGGGACTTAGGGTTCCTGGATTTCGTTCCTTTCTATTTTCACTCTTGGCATGTCTCTCCCACTCTCCTGCTGTGTCAGCTCAACTCATCCAAGTGGATTTGGTCTGATGTATCTGCTTTGTGCTGGCTCCCAACTCAGGTTCTCCTGAACTCCTATTCACTTGCTGCCAGCTGCTGCTTCTGAGAGCTGGATGTTTCTGCCCACTCTGGGCCACAGAGTCTCACTGTTAGTGACAGGTCACCCAGGACTGCCGTGTCACCACCTTGAATCTTTTAGTTTTTTTTTTTTTTTTGGTGGTACTGGAGTTTGAACTCAGGACCTCAAGCTTGCTAAGCTTTTTTTCTACCACTTGAGCCACACCTCCAGCCCTGTTTTTCAGATAGGGTCTCACAACTGTGATCCTCCTTCCTATGCCTCCTGTGTGTCTGGGATAACAGAGGTGAACCACCACACCCAGCATGTTGGTTGAGACGGGGATCTCATTAACTTTTTGCCTGGACTGACTGGCCTTGAACTGAGATCCTCCTGATCGCTGCCTCCCGAGTTCACCGTCTTGGATCTTGAATGTTGCCAGTTGTTAGAATTTCTCTAATTCTGATCAGCCCTCAGATTTGATTGTCACTTGGGACCAGAACCTATACCAATCTTGGATGCTATGCCTGGCTGCCTTCCTGGCTCTCTGGAGTCAGCCTCTGCACCAGCCTTCCCAAGGGTCACCTCTTCTTTCTTGCCAGCTGAGCCGTTAGGTTGCTCTTTGTGGTAGAACCTTCTTTGAGCTTGAATTACCAAGATGAACGTGTGGCCCATTGCTGGAAACTCTACATTTTCCCAGGATGCAATAGATTTCAGCTAGTGTGGCATATTCCTAGAAAGGAAGGGTCTTGCTGTGACCTAGGGACAGTTCAGAGCATTTTATTTCTTCAGTGGTTGGGTTAGTTCTTTGCTGTGCTCGTGAACAAGCAATCTTTCTAGATTTGAGAATGAGTGCTTTGGTAAATTGTAAAATGATGCTCATGGACCTTTGCTACAATGCTAGGCATGATTTACTGGGTTTTCATTTCTCTCTGATAGCAGGTCTAATTGGTAGGTATTACTGTCCTCATTCTAAGGTGAGGGAGGTGAGGCTGAGGGGAAAAAAATCTGCCTATGGTTACATACACAAAAGAGTGGCAGAGCTGGAACCCCTGTTGGTAGTCTGACTCTGAGGCCTTGTCATTGCTGTGGTTGGTAATGAGATAGTTATCATAGGGTGACTGGTTTGGTAGGGCAGAAAGCCTGCAAAGGTCTTTGATTAAGAAAGTCAGTGGACTCTAGGACCTGGGAGGTTCTAGAGGGCAGAGAGCTTAACTGGTTGAGCTTTTGATCCACAGTGTCCAGGATTTGATAAATGTGCCCTCACCAAATGAATGCATTCACAAGCTAAAGAACCCCACGGAAAGAGGCTGTCAGAAGGTATGTCCTTAGGAGGTGTGCTGTTTTAATATTGCTCTCCTAGGATTAGGGACAGGACCAAAACTGAGTGGAAACTGCAGACTAGTACACCCTGGGCGTGTTGGTCTATCCTGTTGAGAGAAGAAATGAAGACTGTTTGGCTATTGAATACTTTACTTTTATAAGGAAAAGGAAACCCTTGAAATAGTATCTTAGTTTTTTTAACGGGCATTAGTAAGTGGGATTTTCTGAACCCACCTCTCTGATCTTTGCCTGTTGATGCCTCCTGGTAGTTGGTGCTCACTGAGTCTCTCTCTATGATCACTGCCTCTACTGCTGTTACCAACTATGGCATATACTTACTGAATACTTGGTCTTTGCCACCAGGAAGCTTCCGGTTTGGTTGTTTATGACAACAACACACATAAAAATACATAGCTCTAATAACCTTAGCCCATCATTCTAACACCTTAGTCTGTCATTCCTTGTTGATGCCAATGTTCTGGTTGTAAGAGAAAGGCTTGTAGCTGCTCTTAGCTAGCTCCTACCCATGGCGGGAGATACAGGGCCTGGAAGTGGAGTCTCACACGGAAGGTTCTCAGACCTGGGAGACAAGAGACCAAGTCTGCAAACCAGACTCCTCACTCAGTTGATTTGTTTTGGGCAGGTCATTTCTGGAGCTTAGCAACTTGCCTAACACATATTTTTTAACCTTGTCCAATATGTCAGACACCAGCCTCGATGCCAGGCCACTACAGTGGGCAAGATGGTCTCTGGCTTTGTGGAGCCTCCGTTGCAGCTTGGGATGTGGATGGTTAAGCACAAATAGGGTGGGGAGAGTTGTAGGGTCCCCCTTCATAGAGGAGGTGGAACGTGAGCCAGATCTTGAAGAGAGGGTGAGGTTAGAGTGGATATTACTACACATTGTTTATGTGCATAGAGCATTTTGTAGGCTCTGAAGGGTTTCCATGTTCAAGGTTTCATTTCATTGTTGTACCCACTATGTCCCAAGCAGAAGAGGAAGAGAAGGGTGCCAAGGTGGGCAGGTGAGCTTACCTGGTTAGAGGGGTGTTTGAGGCTGGGATCCCCAAAAGACCCCAGGAGTTAGGCACTGAGACAGCTCTTCATTGAGGAGTTACTCTGTGGAGCCTGTGAGGAAAGCTGGGAAACTGGACAGAGAAGAGAGGAAGCCAGACAAGGGTGTGAGCTCAGGCAGAAGTTGTGAGGGTAGGGTTTAGCCTGGGCCTGTGGGAGCTGTGGGGTGAATTAAGCCTCAGAATTGTCCCAAGAGAGCTGGGCTTTCCTGTGCTTGTGTTGGACAGTCCCTGAGTCATTGACTGTGGCTCTTCAAATTTGGGTAAGATGACTTTTAGCAGCCTGAGGTCAGTTCCCCAAAGCAGAGTGGGGGAATCTGGGAGGCCAGTAGCAGTATCTGCAGTGGGGGTGGCAATAGGAATCTGAATGCATCCTGGACCATACATTGCCTTGAATGTCTGGCAGTATTGTGAATTGGTGCGGTAGAGTATGGAACCAGCATTTTCCATTACAGGCATTGGTGACACTAAATTGAGGACAAAACCCATTAGCTGAAAAGGACCCCTCTAAATGGAAAGTTTCAATATTATTGATTATGGTACTGTGATTTAGCTAGCACATTTAAAAGTCAGTATGCTGGAAGCATCAAGCAAACAAATGCTTCTTTTTTATTGCAGTAAGACTACTTAACACGAGATCTACTCTTTAACAAATTTCTAAATGTACAATACCATCCTATGAATATAGACATGATGTAGCAAATCTCTCTAGACTTCAGTCCTCTTGCATGCAAATAATTTGTGTGTGCGTGTGTGTGTGTGTGTGTGTGTGTGTGTTATTGGGGATGGAATCCAGGTCTCATGCATTCTAGGCAAACCTTCTCCTACTGAGCTATATCCTCAGTCCCTAGCCAGGTGTATTTTATTTTTTTTGGTGAGGCTGGGGTTTGAACTCAGGGTTTCACACTTTAGATACTCTCCTTCTTGAGCCACAC